AGAATAATCTATATAATATGACTCAGTCATCATAAAAATGAGACTCTCAGAATTAAATGCACACTCCTAATGTTTCACTAAATATTAAACAAATTTTAGTAGTCCTTATGTGATTACTGGTTCAGGACCCAATGCTTTTCTGAATCTAATGCTGACAAAACAATATAACCATATAAACCATATAACTTATGGATTACTTTTATTTTAGAAATTCTATTACTTTAGAGAGCGCCTTCTCATTAAACAGATAGTATCCAATACATAAAGCATTCAGTCTTCTATGGATTTCAAAATTTGTATGCTTACTGAGCTCAGTCTTAATTTCATTCTTGTTTTAGTCATTGTTTTCTGAAGTATACAGTTCTAATTTTGCAATATCATGTTGTATTTATCATGTAGACATCTGTTGCTCAGAGATTAGAATGAGTTTCTCAGTTCATTTCTGCAGACTTGCAAAGGTGCAAAAATTAGTGCACTAATGCATTCTAGATGATCCATACTGTGATGACCTGAAGTGTAAGCTACTTTGACCAGTTACTAGATATTTCTAGTCTACTAGCAGTCAACCTCAGTGGGGGGGAATGAGGAAGAGGGAAAGAAAAAGTTCTTTTAAAACTTCCTCTAGTCAGCTATATGCTATATTCTTTACAATTTGTATCAAACTGCGTACTGCATACTTGAAGTAGTTGCAAGCCTTTAAGAATAACTCCCACTGTAATTGTTGGGGGTTTTTTTGTTGGTTTGTTGCCAGTTTTGATGCCAGCTCTACTAAATGAGAGAGGCAGAAAGCAAGGAAGCTCTGAGTCATGTTATCTGACACAACATTTATTTTCAAGATATTGAGATCTCTATATATTTTTCAGTATGATTGAATACTTTTATGAACTGTAAAAATTATATACTATATGACATGTCAAGATTCAGGAATGAGTTACCTCTGAAAATGTCATGGGATTAAAATATGCTCGCTCATACTGCTTCTGCACATTCTTATATATATTTTGTAGTTTGATCTCGTGGGGTTTTTTGGGGTTGGGTTTGTTTTTTTTTTTTAACAATTACTGTTTTGTGACTGACTTTCCTGTTTCTACCTATTTACACAGTTGTGTGTGATAATTGCATGTATTGATATTATGTCGAGGGCTGCATTCAGCCATTTCTAGTTGTCTTGCTCAGCTTTAAAGTGCTTTAGGAGTCTTTCAGGCTCTACCAGTATGGATGAGTCTTCCTGAAAAGTATACGGAAGTGTAATTAAAATCTAACTCTTGGTCCCCAATTGCCTTTTTATCCTGCTGTGACTCTCTGATTTGAATTTGCTGTGTCTGGGTGGAGACAATATAGGGTCTGAATTCCTATCTTATGTTACAAGCAAATTACGGTTAGCAGGGGTTAGCTGCTCTGTACTGCTTTCCAGTGTTAGATATGTTCTCTTACTTATGCTGGTGATAGCTGCATAGGAATCAGGTATGATTTATGCCAATTGAAATTTAGCTGCATGGAGTATTCTTAGCAGATAGTGTGTTTTGCAGGAGGTGGCCACTGCATGTTGATTTCTTCATATCTGATTTTACTGTCTAATTTTAAATCGGGGTTCACAGACCAGAGCAGTAGGATTTACTTCAGGTAGCTGGCACTAAAAATATCCTGTAAGAATCTCCTTGAAACATACGACTCATCTGCCAAGAGAAATACTGCTAGGGCAATATTTATGCTCTGTTTTTCCCCAGTGAGTTCAAGAGTAATAGATATAGTTAAAACAAGACTAGAAAATATTGTTTTGACTAGGGACAAGAACAAATAAAAACCTTTTTTTCCAGCCTTCTTCCACGTTGGGAAAATTGGGAATGAAGTCCAATGTTTACAGTTGTGATTTCTTCTGCATAATCAGTTTCAATCAAACATATGGATGTCACACTCAGATTTTGAGAAACTTCTGATCTGACTCCAAAGTGGTCTCTGACTTTTGTCCAGGATTTCTTTCCAATTCAATGTCAATATTTTAGTAATGCACCTAGTCTAAACTAAAACTTGATAACCCAGTAATGTAACCCCAATGTAAGTGTGGGAACAAATAACGGATGAGTTACAGATCAAATCCTGACGATGAATGAGATTTAAGATTTATACTGCTGGAGAGTGTGACTGTAAGGACAGAAATCGGTCTGAAGTAATCAGAAACCCAATTGATACTGTTGACCCTGTTGTACGGTTATGTAGAGAGTGTTTGTTTTCTGAAATGAGCTGCATCTTGCAGAGTCAGGCCAGAATGGGCTGCCGGGGTCAGTGGCTCTGTGGTAGAAGCCCTGTGGTACATGACACGCTCTGTCTAGCTTGAATGCTTTTCTCTGAAGTGGATTAATGTGCAATATCCATACTGAGGATTAAGATGTAAGTTTTGGCCTAATGCTTATCATGCATTCTGCTGTGAGTCCTCTCTTCAGTAGCATGTCCTGACAAAATCCAGATCCAATTAAAATCTCTGAATAACAGCTTCTCTTTGTGAAGAAGACGCATTCTAAGGATAACATTTCTCCTTTCATCAGCTTTGAAGTAAATAACATTTAAAATATTTTGATATAAAGCCATCTGAATGAGTATATAAGCAGCATAAATAAGTATATAAAGCAGAAATTTATATTTCAAGAGCAGGGTATCTCTCAACTGATGCCTCGTATAGATGAAATAGACTGTATGATAGTTCCATTTTGAAGTAGTCCAGTCATATTTTTACTAAAACTTTTAGGAACATCTTGTGGTATTTTCTTAACACTATCAGAAAGCTTATTACATATACAAAAAGGCTGGTGTTGATATTTTTATATCATATTGTTGTCATTCCTATAGGTCTCATTTGTTGTATAGTGCCAATTATATACCCAGCAGCAACTCTGAATATAGAAACATTGGCAGTAATTTATTTCTGATTTCTGTGTCCTAGAACCCTGCTGGCATTAGGCTGCCATGTTGGAATTGCTGATGAGCATGCTGAAGAAAAGGTGAAAAAAATGAAACTTCCAAAGAAGTAAGTTGAAATTCAAATGCATCTTTTTGTTAGGCAGTGTGAGTTAAGCAAGCTGTATTTTAACAATTTGATATTTATATTGCTGGTTTTATTGGTACTTGGGTATGCATGTATGCATATGAGTGTTCAGAAATTTACACACACCTTCGTCCACACCTTTTCTTTTAGATGTTGGCAGGCTGATGTGTAGACAAAGTTTAGGTTTTCTGTGATTCATTGAAATGTCTGGCATTCATTGTTACATAGTTTTTTATGTATGGAGTATACTGCAGAAACTTGATAAAGAATTTTTACAGTAAACTTGTCAATAAATCTTGCTGTGCTGCAAATATTTAAAGGTAATCCTTTTGAAAGTCCTGGAATGTCCATCTAGTGACTTGAAGTGCAGAGAACTGGTATAGCTGCCTGACATTTTCCTGGGTGATTGATTGGCAACAGCATTGGTAGGGTTGGGCTCAGGCTGGTATGGTATAGTGGTCTCCTACTGCAGCTCTGAAACCAGCTCTCATGGCCCAGCCAAGGTGCCCTGGCTTCTTCCTTAGCACCAGTGTGTCCACCAGTTTGGTAATGAAAAATTTGGGAACTTAAACACAGTTGAAAGTAATGGAACTGTACTTGGTGATAAGCATATGACAGCCCTACGGCCCCACATACATTTGAGCCCATGGTTTATAAGTTTATCTAGGTCAGTATAAAATTCAGTGGGATAAAAGAGGATTGTAATGAGTACAAAACCAGAAAGGCAAAAGTTACAGTTCAGTATGAGAGAACTTCTGTGTGTTCTGTTATTCCTGATTTTAAATTAGTAATTTAATTTCCTTGGTTATGACTAAGAGTTGTAAGTGCTCATTGCTAATTTGTTACCAGCAGTAGCAACTCAGAGCTCTTTGCAGGGATGTGCTCTGTGCAGAAAGAGCTGTTCCTTTGCTATTGCATATCTCCATTATTCACAGTAGCTTTTCACTGACCCATACCTTCTTATTCCAAACATTGCGTCCCTAAGGCCAGTATAATAACCCCAATCCCATGTTTAACTGAAGCATGCCTGCCTTCTTCCTTTTGTTAGCCAAAAGCACATGCCCCATTCTGGCAAGATTCCTGCAGGCTTCTGGGTGGTACTTTACTACAAGGTAGCTATAAGAACCTGGACCCTCAAGTCTTGAGTATATGCCACACTGCGCTGATTTACATACCATTGGTATCACAGTTTCAGAATCCCTGATGAGGTTGCTTCACAAGAATGAATTAGAATAAAAGCAAGGGCTTAGTTTAATTTCTCCAAAACTGTTCTTCAGCTTTGGTATCCCAAGAAACCTGCATATAAGACCAAAAATAAGAGATATCTAGGGCCTGCTGTATTTTTGTTCTGAATTTACTGGGGAGAAATGTGTATGCACTTTCAAGATTGTTTAAGTGAATTAGATGTGATGCTTTTGAAAAACTTCAGCTAAATCTCAAGCCTGAAGAAATTACACTTCATAATTTAAGAAGAATGATAGTGCTGAATCATTTTAATCTCAGTAACAGTCATAACTTCAGAAACCTGAGGTCCTACCATACATATCAAGTCAGAATTTTTATACCTCACATACAATGGATAGAAAAAATAAGTAAAAGAAAGAAAAAAAAATAGTGGCTACATTCTCAATATCATCAGATGGTTTTTGAGCAAAAATGGAGCAAAGATTTAATGATCTACATACAGCTGTACACATTTTCTGTGGGATACAGTCATGGAAAGAAGAAGGGTTCTCTTTCACAGTTAGACTAGACTTAACCAAGAAAACCCCCAAAAGTTACAGTGTGTGAAAAGCTAAATTTTTGATGGGAGAAGAGATGTCACTGCCTGTGTTTGCTAGTTATTTCTGTTCCTGTAGATGATACAAATGCATTATCCCAACACTTTGTAAATTTTTTCCATGATAATTTATGAAGTTCCCATATCTATTGACACAAAACCTTTATGCTATTATGAAAATCAAAAGCAACAGACAGCACTTGAATATAATTAGCTTGTCTTTTTACTTTGTAGTAAATATTTCCATTTCACTTTGAATACTCTTGTCTGTCTTCTTAACCCTTTGCCTTATAATTTCTGCCATCCTGTTGTAACAATGAAGATTTTAAAACACTAAGAACAAGTTTATATTTGTTTCAGTCCTACAGAATTTTGGTCTCACAGCCACCCTGCTTTCAAGTTGGGGAAAATCACATTTTTAACTGACAGTTGTGCCAGAATTTTGCCTTTTCTAATGCAGCATTACTCCACAAAAGGACCATTTTGAACAACTAGCCGAAGTGTACTGTAAATGCAACTTTTGCTGATGGAATTTCTCTCTCTATTAGGACATTTTTTCCTGGTATAATTTTAGTTTAGGTTTTTGAATAAGGCATCGCTCAATAACCTTTTATTTTAAAATACCTCCCTGAAATATTCTAAGTCTTTATTTTAATAAATTCTAAATAATTAGTGTTTCTATTGGTTAAAAAAAAAGTCTAAATGAAATGGGAAAGGAAAAAATTGTCAGAATGAAAAAAATTTTTAAAATTTTTTTTCTCTGTTTAATTTTCTCTTGTAAAACAACTCACATGGACTGCTGAAAATACTTAATGAAGAGAGCAGAGTATGGTCTAAGATCACTTGAAAATATATCTACCACTTTTTCTGTAACTTTAGGTGGTGGAACAAATAAAAATTCCACAATGCTTGTTATAAATAAGTGGCAGGTCAATATGGTAGTGATAAGGTACTGTTGAAGCAGTTAAATTTTCAGCTTGAAAATTATTCCACATTACTTTACCTACTTCTTAAAAAAAAAAAGTTGTTAATATAAGGCCAGCAGAGACACTGAGCAAGGTAAGACCAGTAAGATACTGATACGGGGCAGGAGCTGGGATTTTAGCTACCTATTTCAACTACTAACACCAGTCTGCAGCTAAAGACGATTCTCCAACATGAATTTGTACACACAATATGCATTTGTTGTTTTCCTTAGTATCCATTGATACTTATCCTTGATGAGTATTCATTTGCATCATAAAATAAGGTATAAGCATCCTCTGTGACAAATTCATGAGCATCCTTTGAGACCCCTGGTTCTTTGACCCTGCTGTTATATCGAAATAGCTGTGGCTATTGTAGCTTTTATATGCACAACCTAACACTTGTGCAGGGGAGTGTGACAGGAAAGAATACAGTAATTACCAGCCTGACAAATGTGTTAATTCTGTATGACTCACTATTTCCGTTACTGACTGGTTTTACTCGTCTCACTGAAGCAACTGTGCAGCTACCTGAGGAGATGTAACTGTGAGGGCAGTGAGCTAGCACGTGGGAGTTAGCAGCACAACTGCCAACTGCTTGCTTCATTCGTAATAGAAATTTGCCAGTTGGTAACTATATGAATGGTTGATTTTGGATTGACGTTCTTGAATTGTTGTTTTCAGAATTAAACTTTTTCTTTTAATGTGGTAATTTTGAAGGACGGTCCAACCTCATGTTTATAGATGATAATCCCCCTTAAATACTTGCTTGTTTTCAATTATTGTTTTCAACCAATAATTTGTTTAAATGAGTTTTAGAATAGTTGTCACAGAAGAGAATTAATTGAGATTTGTAAAGTATTTGAATATTTTAGAATATAAATGGGGATAAATACTGTTTCTTTTTCTGGATTTCTTTCTGACAGTCCAAATAAAGAAAAGACAAGAAAATGCCGAAGTAATTTAGAAAATAATTAGACAACTATTTAAACTAGCTGTTCTTTAAATGCTCTAGCACATATAATTTCAGTAAGAGAATGTTGTAGTTTATTTTCCACAGACCCCTTTTGTTATGACCAAAATAACTCTTTGTTTTGTCAGTATACTCAAGGAGAAATACTCAAGGATATTCAGGGCACATTCACCAGCTCTGGCCTGGTCTCTCCTGGGGCTTCAGGGAAGCATCAGCTCTGGCACCTGGAGCACATCTGCCCTCTCCTGCTCCTCTGGCCTTGGCTTCTGCAAGGCTGTTTTTCACACTTTTTTTCTCACTTCTCTCTGCCTGTGCAGTTTTTGCCCTTAAAAATGTTTTCCCAAAGGTATCACCAGCATGGCTGAGGGGCTCGGCTCTGTCCTGTAGAAGGTCCATTTTGGAGCTGTCTGTGCCCAGCATGGGGCACCCCCAGCCTCTCCTCACAGAGACTGGCGTGCAGCCTTCCCCCCCAGCACCTGGGCACAGACACCCAGTACAGCCCCTGTCCGTCTGCCCTCTCCTTTGCTTTTCCTGAGCCCCTTCCCCTACATGTTCCCTCATCAGCTGAGGTAAGGGATGCAATGTCCACCACCATGGTGATGCCGCATGGTGTTGTAGGTTTGCATTGTAAATTTACTAAGTCCTGATGTGTTGCATCCATTACCATATGCACAATGTCCTTTACTGAAGAAGGTTTGGTCATAAGTAAAGTGGCAGATGACTATAATTAATTCAATGGCAACAACTTCATAAAAGTAAACAACACCTTGTTCTTATGAGTGTTAAAAATAGTGAGGAAGCTGTCTCTCTGTTCTGAAGTCATGCTTAAATTTTAAAAATTTGCTCCTGTGAATTGAAGGATAATTAAGGTATGAGGTATTATACAGACAAACTTTTAGACAGACTTCATATTTGACCTGCTGTCTCTCACATCCCTATATCATAGAATCATCTAGGTTGGAAAAGACCTTTAAGATCATTGAGTCCAACTGTTTACCTAACACTGCCATTCCACCACTAAACCATGTCCCTAAGCACCACATCTACCCATCTTTTAAATACCTCCAGGGATGGGGACTCAACCTTTTCCCTGGGCAGCCTGTTCCAATGCTTGACAACCTTTTCAGTGAAGAAATTTTTCCTAATATCCAATCTAAACTTCCCCTGGTGTAACTTGGGCCATTGTCCTATCACTTGTTACTTCAGAGAAGAGACCAACCCCCACCTCTCTACACCCTCCTGTCAGGTAGTTGTAGAGGGCAATAAGGTCTCCCCTTAGCCTCCTTTTCTCCAGGCTAAACAACCCCAGTTACCTCAGCTGCTACTCATAAGCCTTGTGCTCCAGACCCCTCACCAGCTTTGTTGCCCTTTTCTGGACATGCTCCAGCACCTCAATGTATTTCTTGTAGAGAGGGGCCCAAAAGTGAGCATAGTATTTGAGGTGCAGCCTCACAGTGCTGCTGGCCACACTGTTTCTGATACATTATCCTAATGTCCAACCCAAACCTCCCAAACAGCAACTTGTGGCTGCTGACCAGCACTATAACATTACACGTGGCCTGCCACCACCAAGTAGTAGCTTTCTTGCCACCCCCAATCAAGTAGCAGTTGGCTGCTGTGGGATGTTGCCCTATCCTCCTGTTTGACAGACTTGGTCAGCCCTGCTCGTGCAGCCTCTTTTTGTAGCCCTTGTGCTGTAGGTAGCCACCACCTCCCCCGATCCCAACATTTCTCCTGAGCAGCCCAGCCCTGGCTGGAGGGGAGTAACAGAATGACACAGAATCACAGAACAGCAAGGGTTGGAAGGGCCCTCAGGAGATCATCCATTCCAACCCCCCTGGTAAAGCAGGTTCACCTAGAGCAGGTTGCACAGGACATTGTCCAGGCAGATTTTGAGTATCTCCAAAGAAGGAGATTCCACAACCCCCCTCGGCAGCCTGTTCCAGTGCTCTGTCACCCTCAAAGTAAAGAAGTTCTTCCTCATATTCAACTGAAACCTCTTATGCTTTGTGCCCATTGCCCCTTGTCCTGTCACTGGGCACCACTGAGAAGAGTCTGGCTTCATCCTTTTGATATCCACCCTTGAGATATTTGTATGCGTTGATGAGGTCCCCTCTCAGTCTTCTCTTCTTCAGGCTGAACAAGCCCAACTCTCTGAGACTTTCCTCATAGGAGAGATGCTCCAGTCCCCTAATCACCTTTGTTGCCCTCCTCTGGACTCTCTCTAGGAGTTCCTCATCTTTCTTGAACCAGCGAGCCCAGAACTGGACACAGTGCAGTCTCAACAGGGCAGAGTAGAAGGGAAGGATAACTTCCCTCGACCTGCTGGCCACTCTACTCTTAATGCACCCCAGGATGCCATTGGCCTTCACCTCCCCTCAACCAACTACTCTCTCCTGGGTGCCTGTGGCTTGCTGGGCTGTGGTGCAAGCACACCGTTCGGATTTCCTCTTGGTGGCCCCATATGCCTACTTTAAATATGTGAAAGTACTAAAATACTTAAACATTTTTTGTTCAGACCATTTGTGTAGCTTTCATTACCAGCTACTTCATCCCACCAAGATGCTTGAAACAAAATCAAATGTCAGTGCATTATTATTATTATTGATGTTCAAAGATAGATTATTTATATAGATGTATTGCATACATGTCACTTCTTTCCTTTGCAGTTTCTATTATTTTTTTCTTACTGAAAAGTAACTGTAGATTCTGTGTTTTTTGACAGCTACCAGTTATTGAGTGGATATAAGCCAGCTCCCATGGATCTGAGTTTTATCAAACTGACCCCCTCTCAAGAAGCTATGGTGGACAAACTAGCAGAGAATGCTCACAATGTGTGGGCAAGGGACCGTATAAGGCAAGGCTGGACATACGGTATCCAGCAGGTAAGTGCTAACTTTAGTCACTTGAAAAAGCACTTACCTAATGAGGTATTTCACAGATAAATCAGAATAATGGGGATACAAAAGCAGGAAGAAGCAGCTAATGAATGTGAGTCTGTCAGTCAAAGAAAGCAAAAATACATAATCAAAGGAATGCTGCTAAATATTCTAGAAATATGAGACTTCTTTTACAAGCAATATTAAAAAAATGATGGTATGTTCTTGTATGCTATCTAGATCTCAGGGTGAGAAAATTGCATTCAGGAAGCTTATATGCTCTAGTATTTTAGGAAATGTAAACATTGACTTTCAGTAGGGGAATCATTTAAATGTTTGCAGTCCTAGGAATTGAATAATTTTGTTTATCCAGGAAAATCAGAATGTAGACTTCTAGTAATCACTTTGCTAAACTGTTGTATTTCTGGCAGAGGCCATGTTTAATTGAGAATAGTTAAGTCAGTCTCCAAGTTCCAGTCCTACTTTAGTGGGTTTGTTCCAGTGAATAGGAATGCTTCCTGGTAGGTATCACAGTGTGTTATAAAGGAAGGGAGTAAAAATTAAGCATGGTGGATTGTTAAAAGCAAAACTCAGGGTCTCTTTTTTCTTTGAAAAAAAAATTAATTTGGTATACAATGAGCCTTATTTATTATTTTTCAAGACAGCTACTATATGAATTTTCTTTTAGGATTAATTTTCTATTATTTTTGTGATTATGTGTGATTTTTTTTTTTTTATAGAGAAAGGTGTCTTCACTGTTAATAAATGTGTGGTAGCATATCACAGTGAAATTTTAGGAACATTCACCCCTTGTGGGAAAAAAAAAGTTTTCATGGTTTTGCACTGTGCATAAAAGATCATTATTTTTGCAAAAATGAGTAACAGCTGTTTTGTAGGTACACAAAAAATCTTTCCTGCCTTGAAACAGTGTTTTTGTTTTTGACTAAAATTCAAGTTATACATTTCAGTTCAGCACATTTCAAATTTTGTTTTTCTACAAGACCAAAACTCATTCTATTTGCAAAGCTTTTGTATTAAAAAAAAAAAAAATCTGGATATATCTGGTTATATATGTATTAAGTTAGGCACTTAAATTCACCTCATCACATACTGACAAAGTACATTTAAGTGACAAAATATGTGCCACATAGCATCTTACTACAAAGCTCTCATTTTGGCACTTTGTAAACTGTAAACTATTTAGGAAATCGATGTTCTGTATTTGGGTCTAGACAGACAATGAGCCAATTCCTATGTTTGAAGACTGGAATGTATGTAATATCCCCTACTAAATAGATGCTGAAGATAATTTGGTGTTGGTGCAACTCCCCTGCTTACAACAGGTTTAAATTTTCCCCTAATACTGCATCTTTGAGTAAGGGAAGGTGGCCCTTTGAAGTAGTGTTAACATTTGGGTATTGGAAGTGATGATTCTCTGTTGTCAGGTAGGGGGAGCAGATTAATTAATTCTGAACTCACTATTTCAATCCTGTGTTTATGGAGGCAGTGCACAAATTCATTTCTAGAATGAGAGTCTGTATGTTTTTAGATGCTCAGAATAAATATTTCTTATATATTAAAGAATGCACTCAATAATTTACACCATGCCTCCCATATTTTTTATTCTCCCAGAAGCTAAATAGTTTCAATACAGGGACTTTCCAATCAGGAGATTTGAAATGAATATAAGTTGGAAAATAGTTGCAGCTTTGACAGAACCCTAACATATCCCCAAATTAAATTTAGTTTTGCAACAGAATTTATTGGTTAAGATGAAGTTAAGAAGTCTCTGGAATCAACGGCATCTCAGCTAATTATGTTTCTATCTAAGCATTGGGAAAATTTAAACCCACAACTCATATGTAGTAACTGAAGTTTCTTAGATCTTGAAGACAATGCAACCTGCCTTGTGTATCTGTATATCTTTGGAAAAAAAAAACCACAAATAATTTTGCCATATTTATTGGAGTGAATGTATTTTCTGAATTAGTGAGGTATTAAGTAAGAAAGGCAGTTAACTGATGCTGACAAAGACTGTTTCAGTGTTACTGGGTTTGGGAATAAGCAAAAGATGTAGTGGGAATGGGTGGCAATAAAAAAAGTTTCTCCCTAACAGCTATACAATGTGCTTATGCATTGTCTTCATGTATGTTTTGATGTGCCTGTTGATATAGAAGGTTCTGCTTTTGAAGAGGTGTGATGTGATAGTAATAAATCATTATTTTTATTATGGTTCCCAATGGGCAGTGGAGTTGCCCCAGGCCACCACTTTGTTAAAAAGTAAAATAAAAAACATTGATTAGACAAATCTAGCACGGGTTGTAACCTAAAATTAAACACTCAACTTAATGTCAGAAGAATCATGAAGGCTGCCTTATGTTCTCAGCGCTGTGCCTGGGGAGAGAGACTGACCTTACTGTTGAGTCTAAAACATTGTGGCCCTGTGAAGAGACATTTTTGAGGCTTTTTATCTGCTGTCCTGAGGGACCAGCCTTGGAACTCTGTCTCCCCTAAATGCCTCCCTTTGTAATAAATGCCCTGCTTGCTGGCTGATAAAGCTCAACATGCAAATTAAATCTGCGCTTACTTATTACGATTTATAGTCTGGAGTGAGACAACTAGTGGAAGATAAGTTTTGAACCCCTAAGTCTTGTAATTACCAAACTGTGCATTAGCCATTTCCCATGACTGTTTTAAAAATTGACACCTATGTCCTCAAAGATATCTAACTGGACAAATAGGAATTGGGTATCTAAATCCATTTTGATGGCCAAGGACAAGTTGTTACATAAAGAGGTTATTGCTATCACTCTAGACCTGCTGAGTTTTAAAATAAAATGGTACCCCCTAGTTAGGTTTTCAGAAATGTTTTAAGCAGTCAGTGTGAATCAGGCTCTGATTTTGACTACCAGGTTGTGCTCTGAAAGAGACTTAGATAAATGCTTCTGCTCTAAATCTTGATTGGACTTAGATATATGATCAGGATTGAACTGTTCTTCCTTACCAAGACAGAGACAATTATGGGCATGCAAAGAAGAGCCTGGAGAATTTAGAAGTAAAAAGCTTAAGTGCCTATGCCTATGAAGCTGATCGCATTTGGAATTGGAAAGTCACTTAACTGGGGGTTTGCAGTCTTGGGTGCTTCTGCTTTAAATGTCAAAATACTTGGTTGGGTCTGATTCATTCACACTGACTCAAGACTTTTGTGTGCTGAGTGGGGCACTGTTGTTGAGAATGTAACGCAATGGTGTAGTGAACAGTGTCATAGTTAGGCTTTCAACAGAGGATGGTTGTTAAAGATCATCAAGAGCTCAGGAATATTCATAACCTTCAGGAAACAGATCAACAAGGTCAGCAGTATACTTTACTATCTTATTCTTGGCAGAAAAATTACAGTACTCTTATGTATGGTTATCAGGTATATGGCATCCTTGAAAACTTTCCCACCAAGACCATATCCTGTTGAAGCTACAATGCTTGGAGTGCTGATGTCGATTTCCTCTTAATTTAAATATTTTTTGTATTTTCAAATAATTAAGTTTATTTTCTTCTGGAGATAAGACAGACAACTGAGTTCCAAGAGTGCTTACAATGTGGAAATAACAAGTACCTTTCATTAAAATTCAAAAGCAGAGAGCAGAACAGCAAGGTGCTCCTTTCTGGGTGCAGTGCAAAGACGCTTCTCATTTAGCTGACATACACACCACATGGCAAGCTGCTAGCTGTTGTCCATGCTGCTGTGTGCTTCTGCTTGACTCCAACAATGGGTTTGTTTCATGGGCTATGTTTTGTCATCCCATCATATTACTGTGACATGTTACAGTACTGTAATAAAGTGGCATGACGTTATGCTGTGTAATACTATAAACAGATCTTGCAGAGCTATGAAATAGTTTCCTAAGAGAAAGAAGTTTGCAGATGTTTGAAAGTAGGTGAACTAATCACTGTGAAGTATATGTTATGAACAGCAATCGTGCTGTGGCTATAGGATGGATTAGATGATCTAGTAGGTCTGTGCCATCATGAGTACTTCATCACTTTGGGATTATATAATATGAGAAATTAAAGGGATATTGTCAAGTAGTTCATCTATAAACCATTTCTTTTCTGTTGTAGTCTGGTGGGGAAAACGCATTCCAAGTTCCAGATTTTTTCTTCTTCTAAATCCACCACTGCTTGTCAGAATTTTTCTTAACAAGAGATAGCTGCTCTTCGTGCATGACTATACACAGTATTTTTGTTCTGCTGCTGTAGAGCCAACCAGTCAGCCAGCAGAAGGAGCACAAGTTAACTAATAAATCCTGTTCCCAGAACTGTGCTGACAGCTGTGATGACACTGATCACAAACAAGTACGTAATTTTTAAGTAGGACAGACTCACAGTAGCTTTTTGCTCCATGAAAGGAGCAGAAGGAACAAAACAGGTAGGAAATATGCTTTTTTTTTTTTTTTTGCTTAAAGTATTAAATAACAAGGGTAAGTGGAAAAGCAAGCACAAAATCAGAATGAAAATACTTGACAGTGTCCCTTTAAGGGAGAACATGTTTGCCTGCAGGTTTGTTTCTGAACTGGAGAAATGGTAAATGATCAAAGACAGATAAGGGAGATAGATCCAGGCAAAGGAGCAATATAGCCTTGGTGTAAGTCAATTTTGTGTAATCACATTTGTACTATGAGAGAGCGCTTTTTTTTTTTTTTTTTTACAAGTACAGATTTTGCCATTATGTCCTACAATAATTACCTGAGGTTTTGGGGTATTTTTAAGGAATTTTTCATAACAGGCTGAAAAACCTGACAATCAGAATCCTCGTTTATATTGAGAAAAAATATTTTTAAACTCCACAGCTTTAACAATTGGTTATAAAAAGTTTTTCCCACTGTGTGAAGATGCTTTGCACGTCCTGTTCTAGGATAATTAGTCAGGACTGTGAAGCAATTTGCAAGTCTGATTTCTCTTTGGCCCAAAATGCAAGACAGCTCAGTCTTTTTAAGTCAGGATCTTACTTTTTTAAGATTTTTGTAGAAAGCATATGAAATCACTATTTGATCAGGAGTTGGTCTTCTCAGACTGCCTAGTGCTGCAATGCAAGAGGGACACTGTTCTGGAAATTCAGACTGGATGGATGTGCGGGGAAAAGCACCTTGTTAATTATTTTGCCATTAAATATATATAAAAAGGTATCTTGTCCACATAAACATTTTCTATCATTTGTACTGATATATTAGTTCCTTCCATTTATAGTCCGGACACATTCTGCCGGGCATTCCATAGGGGTATGGTCCTCTGTGAAGATGGTAGAAGCTGTACACGTACTTCTAAGGACAGAACTCACCTGCTAGTATGCCAGGTTAGGAACACAACTTCTGCTTTGGGTGGATGTATTTAGAGTATTTGTTAACATAGCCAAGAATATGGCTTCATGAGGACTTATTGTGCTTTCCGGTTCTGACGACCTTGGAATCTTGAAATGACTTACTTAGTAAATACCAATTTAGAATGACATTTTTCCTTTTTCCCCTAAAAAATAATTTTTTTTGATGGTTTATGGTTAAACATGAGCTGCCATAATAAATGCAGAAAAGCTAGACCTTGGATAACAAGATATGAAGTGTATGGTTTAGGTAAATGATCTTGTTCACAGTGTATATGCTGCACACTCACACAGGGGCTCACTGAGCTGGGTTTCTGACAGCATTTCTGGCAAGCTCACTTGTAGCTTTTCTTGTGGCAATTGCTCAGAACTCTTTGTGAAAGTGCAAGATCCACAGATATGGCAGCAAGCAGAATCAATTCACAGCTGTGGAATGTGTGTTTTCTAGTGGTGCAAATTAAGCTAGGAAAACAACAGCACATCTGTCTCACCGAAGATGTGCTTAAATACATTTGTTTTGTGCTTGTCATTTAACAGCCTTGGTTATGAGAACAAAATCATTTCAGTACCACACAGAATATGTAGCTAACTCTAAGACTATGTGTCTAGCTCTAACACAAAATCACAAAACTTATGATTCCATTAAATTATTTTCACATTTTTCCTGCACTCTTCCTACTCTGTGTTTTCATTTTTCAGTCTTTTCCTGTCTGTCTTTTTGATAGGCACCTATTTATGTATGTTTCTAGTGTCTTTTTGTTCCTTTTAGTCTAGTGATCTGTGCTGCCTCTGAACTTCTCAGAGCTTTGGGAAGGCCCAGGAGTGCACAGGTTTGCGGTACCACATTTACAGCTCTGAAAACTATATTATTCTTTATAATTTCAGATGTCTTTTAGAGGTTTATAGGAGGCTTTATTTTTTTGTTACTGAATTACTTCTGAAGAGTACAACCTTATTACACACACACTGTATCTCTTAATAGGTAGTTCTTTTGGAGTTGCTTATAGGATTTGACTGTGGTTTTCTATGCTTCTATAGACAGTATGGACACTCCTCTTGTTTCATTCTTACTCTTAAATGACATCTACCTAGGCAAGTTGTTAGATCTGATGCACTAGTCCAGTAATCTACACATCACATACCCACTGAATGAATGAATGAGTGCAGTTGTGCACCTCTCAGCTCCCAGCGTGTTTCCTCTGTGAATTATTTTGCAGCAGTGTTTGTTACCTGTAATGGAAGTTTTAAAAGGCTTGTTGATGTTTGTTGGTGTGTGTGTTTAGGTACTTTTTCTGTACTTCTTTTCTATTTCTTCTATTCAGTTAGTGCCATTGTTGAACAACTGCACCTATTTCAAATCTATTTATACTCTACAAATAGCTATGTGTGCTGATTCAAATAATTATTTGTCTATCATTTGCTGTGTACAGTAAAATCTGTAGTATACACTGCATTAAGTAATACTGACTTTTTATGGTCAGTGTTACATCACTCAGGTTTAAAATTATTTATTATAAGTTCCTTCCTTTTAATAGTCAGGGCACATTCTGCCAAGCATTCCAACTTTTTATGGTTACAATGCTTTCTTTTACTTAAGCAACTCCAAATTAAATTCTAAATGACTAATGCAATGTTTTTGTTACATTAAAGGAAGACAAAGCTGTGTAATAAAATATATAGGCTTTTTTTTTCCTGTGATATGATAGGTTTTGAATTCAAAACCAAAGAATTGCATAAAATTCATGTGTGCTACCTAGCTCAAACTGTTTGAAACAGAATTTTGTCAAAAAGCTTAAGTTTGGGGTTTTTTGTCTTCTGGAGGAGATCTGCTTCTCTTTTTCTTTCAGATGACCCTGTGAACAAGTAGTTGCCAGACAAACTCTATACAAAACAAAGTCTTCTGATGAAGCATTAGACTGTCAAACCTGGAAAATTCTGGCAAAAAAATGAAAAACTTAGGCTGAATTTTCCTTCTTTTAATATAATAATATAAACCAGTAAGTTTTCTGTAGTGAATAGGAAGAATTAAATCTATGTACGAATTGCAAATGTACTCAGTAAAAATTACCACTCTTAGCTAATCAGTTTTCTTGTTGACTTGATTGTGATTGTGCAAAACTCAATCACTGTATAGGATCATTCTCTTGATTAGTTACACTTAAACCACAGAGGTGCAGAAGATCATTAGTACAAAAACTTATGATGAGTGTAACAATAACAGTTCTTAATTCAGCAGTAAAACATTCAAAATTTAGATAGACATATCACAGGAAAGAATAAAAAGAGAAATCATTAAGAGAAAAATCCCATCTCATATTCATATTTAAAGAAGTAGCCAAAGTCTTGAATGGGTGAAAGAGGTCACAATATTAAATAAAATTAGACCCAAGGAAAAAGATCTGTAAAATGGAGTTTGTTTAATACTTATGTTTCGTTATGCTTTTTTTTTTACTCACTCTGATTTTGTGCTTTAGACATTTTTAAAAACACTTATGCAATATTTCATTATCATACATTGTTATCAGCTAATTGTCAGTATGTTAATGTGTGTTAATGGTTGCTATGGCAATTACCAGTGCATTAGTCTAACTGTATACTGTGGATAAGAAGTTACATAATTGTTATTCCAAACTTCTGATTTTAAAGACAGTACTTCATGAAATCTTTTGGACATACAGTGTTTCAGAGGAAGATATTTCTCTTCCTATGTCTTTTCCAAGACAAATAATTAAACCCATGATGTTTCATCTCTGATGTTAATGTGAATATTCTTATATCAAATAATAATTCCTTATAACATTTAATTCAACATTTGTTTGGTCCATTCTGTTCTGGAACCAGTCCTATTCCACATCTACAAAATTAAATACTCAAAAAAAGGAGATGTCAACTTAAGCGTTTGGAAAAAATAAGGAAGGTAGTCCCCTCACATGGTCTTTGCGTTGGCCCTGTCACTATCCTTCCCACTGAATATAACCATAGCTGATATGGTGTAGTAATCTGTGTCCCCAGCCAATGCATTATCTTTATCTTTCTGTTAGCCCTTTTAGCACATAGGCAATGCTTGTCTGGTAATATTTCTTCTCCTAGAATGATCACTGGCAGGACCAGATTTCATCAAGCACTGGTTAATAACTGCACTTGAATATTTACTCACCATGATAAGGCAAAAGGCAGATAGCCTTGTGTCTAAGCATTTAAAGGGTGACAAAATACACCTGCAAGAAGTCAGAATGGATGTGCCATTTCTTTTCTGCCTGCAACGGTAGAATGAAAACCACATACATTCTTAGAAGTAGAACTGTAATGCTATAAAAGAGGTAAGCTACTTTCACTGGAGGCACTGTTTTCTAAAATACTAATCACTATTTTTGCACTTCTTAATAAGTCTGACCAATCATAAAAGCCTATCAATATCTTCAGTATTTGTACCCAAGAGAACAAACACCAAGTAATTTTTTATATTTCCAGTCTTTATTTATTTCTTTAAATAAGATATTAGGAAGAACACGGAGAGTTCTTTGTACGGTTTCTCTCACTGCCAACAAATGCTGACAGGATGTGAGAAGGAAATGTGGTCAAGAAAACAGTGCTATCAGTCATTAAAAATTGTCTTAGTCATATAAATAATCTGGTTAAACAATGCTTTCAAATAAGATAATTTTGCACGAGAGGAAAACCTAACCAATATTGTGTTAATAAGCCTGAAATACAAAGATTAAACCTTACCAATACAGCTGGAGAAGAGGTTACATTGAACTACTTATTACAAAAATTCTGCACATTAAGCACATTAATCATATTCTTAGAAGACCCTTTCTTCTGGAAAAATAAATGTTTTAAGGATTTAACATAGTAAGGCACAGGCTTGTTATCTATTTTATTATTTATTAATTAGTATTGTACATATTCATTAATATTTTATTAGTATTGTTTTATCTTGTTCTTCTTTTGTTTATATCTTGTTTATTCTTTGTGGTTTTAATATATTTTTATAGCACTGTAATTAAAAAAAACCCCTAAGTATTTGTGGTACAGTAATGTCTCTGAGCTTTAGTTTTGTACCAGGTTTTCAGTCAAACTCTTTGCATTTATTCTTGTTGACCTGTTAAATAAATTTGATGGAAAAAGAAAGCAGGTATAAGCCACGCAGTTTCATTGATTTGTGTATTAATTGCTTTTTTAGTAAATTCAGTGTTGTTACTAGTTTCTAGACTGTTGCAACTTCTTTGAATCCTTGCTGTATTTGCAGCTCCATGATTTCAGTTGGTATAAATAGTAAATTTTTATACTGCTGCTATAGCACAATCTTGTCTTTAAGACAAAACACAGTTTCTGACATTGAACTGATTTTCATACTTGTGCAGGATGTGAAAAATCGCCGAAATCCTCGCCTTGTACCTTATACTCTATTGGATGATCGGACAAAGAAGTCAAACAAAGACAGTCTTCGAGAAGCAGTCCGCACCCTGCTCGGCTATGGTTACAACCTGGAAGCTCCTGATCAAGATCATGGTAATTAATTTTGTAATTTTGTTCTTCTCTCTCTCAAAAAAAAAAAATAGTATTTCACTCCAGTACAGGATTTGCTGGTCCAATAAAATAATCTTAACAGGTATGGTGTCTTCAAATCTAATAGGTGCTTTTCCCCATCTTCTGTTTTTTCTATTTCCTTTTCGGTCTTACATTTCTTATTCTTTCCTTTTCTTGTCCTGTGGCCTCAAATGAAGAATTAAAGAATGAAACATTCTTACATTTTAAATCAGTGATAAAATTTCTGTGTATTTCACGCACTACCTTTCACTATACATTTTGTAGATTTGATGAGTTCAGATGAGTCAAAATTAAAAGCTTAAGCAATTTAAATCAGGATTGTGAGTACTACAAGACACAATCCTAAAATAGAGAAAATCAAGAAAAGATGTTTATCATCTTGCTAAATATATATGGCCATATGCCAGGGAAAAAAATGCATGGTTACATTTTCAATATGTGCATAAATACTTGAAGTTCCCCACTTCTTAATTAGTACTATATTTATTATTTCATGATAGAATAGCAAAATTGCTGAGAAAAAGATGGTATGTAAATGCAATAGATGTGAATTTTATATTCCTACATTTTTAACACACAGAAAAAACATGGAAAACTATATAAACTTTTAATAAACAAGTTTTAAAGAAACAGTACACAACCTTTACCTCAGTAACTGCAGAATATAAAATGTTAATCATAGAATCATAGAATGTTTTGGGTTGGAAGGGACCTCTAGAGGTCATCTAGTCCAATCCCCCTGCAGTGAGCAGGGGCACTGCTAACTAGATCAGGTTGCTCAGAGCCCCGTCCAACCTGGTCTTGAATGTTTCCAGGGATGGGGCCTCCACTACCTCTCTGGGCAACCTGTCCCAGTGTTTCACCACCCTCATTGTAAAGAATTTCTTCCTTATATCCAGTCTAAACCTACCCTCTTTTAGTTTAAAACCATTACCCCTTGTCCTGCC